TATATAATAATTTAACGTTTTCAAGAGACACTATCCTAATCATTCCTCGATCTTTCCCTGACTGTACCCTAAAATAGCAACTGTATGCGGTAATCGTGGTGGGTGAGGGAGACAAAAGCTTCGATCAGTCTCTCTTCAAGCTCAAATTTTCAACAAAAGACCGGTTGCATTTGTTGTGGCCTGTCTTATTCTCAGGTCACTTCCTTCTGCATGAAATTTATTGGCTCAATGGTTACGATAGTCAGTCTGAGTAGGTATTAACTTTTTGACATTGACAATCCAATATATATACACAACTCGTAATAAAGAATAGCATTATAAACTAACAATGAGTTGATTTAGTGGGTCTAGATATTAAATATTTAAGTAATATCATAAGTTTTAATTTTAGTGATTTGAATGGAGTTAATTAGGTTAGATGAGTCGTCATTGTCTTAGTAGTATTCGATCTGAATTAATCAAATATCGTTATTTATACCAAAATAAAAAAAGTATAGCCTTGTAGGAAGTTTCTTTGTTTTCTTTTCTCGAGACTTGGTGCACTAAATTTTAGTTTTTTATCCGATATTTAATCTGTTGAGATGTTAATTATCAAAAAGAAAAAAACTATTGGGATATTTATACTTTTTTATATTGTAATAATAATCATATCAATCAAGCTGAGACTTAATCAATAATTCAATTTGGAATTTTAACTGAGATAGTTAACTTTGCTAATAATTTAGACTAACTAATAATATTTGAGCTTTTATTTCGTACGATACTAAAAAAGTTTAAATATATATTTGATATATGTATAAGATATTTTCACTTAAAGTTGAATATAAAAATATTTTACTCCCAATTTGGTACTTGAATTTTAATTTTATCAATTGTTTTACTACTTATTACAATTTTACTCTAAAAATATATATATATTTTGATTAAGTTAACATGATTACGAAGTAATATTTGTTCTAGATATTTTAATTATTTGATGATAAACGTTCAATCACTCTTACTGTAATCGTTGGTGCTTGAACCCGATACTTATAAAAATAACAATAAATTCTCTAACCACAAAGATAATTTGATTCAAGGAGGAAGATAATTGTAATGAAGTGTGAACCTAAAGTAAGCTTCAATCCAGGCAGGCTGCTGAGTCCATAAAGACAGCTGCTTTATTTGCAAGAGTCAGATTATCAATAATCTTTATCTCAATTTCGGGGAAAAATGACATTAAGGATGCAAAACACAAAGGAGGCGGCCCTAATGCATTGATGACTCGGATAACTCCGACAGGCAGTAAGTAGATGGAGCTTGGGGCTACGGTGTGTAGGCCACTATTGTATTTCGAAGTACAGAACTTGAAAGAGCACAAGGGCATGGGTGCTTATAAAGTTGGTGTAGTTTTAGCTGTCTATTAACAGTTTCCAATTAGCGCAGTTTCGACATTCGATTCTCCCTTCCACTCTCTGGTTTTTACCCCACAACTCCCCTTATTTTCAGCGTACTATGCCCCACGTGACTAAGAAATTACACAGCTATTGTCTCCTCTGATTCCCCACTATTCTCCTATACTTCTCTGCTAGTCCCTTTCTCTCTCAGTTATCTTGTCCATTTGTTTACTCATGTTATCTGTTAGGTGGGGCTGCTCAACCTCCCTTTTGTCAGGAGATGAGTTAAAATGATTGGCACTCTCCGTTTATTTATAACACTACGTTCTCTCTCACTTATCGGAACTTATTACTTGCTCCTGCCTTTCCCTTCCCATATGAAGATAATAGCTAAGAGCTCCCACGATTCTTCTTTCTCCTTCTCCAGGAGATATTTCAACTGGAAAAAGAAGGTCGAAGATGATGATGACGACGACGAGGGAGAAATTTTAACCTTTAGCTTATCCTCTCATTTTTGTGATGAAGCCAAGGAAGCGGGGGAGGTTCGAATAGTTCCACCACCGAGAAAGAAGCTGCCGGTTGTGTCGGTTTCCAGGCTTCGGTCAGCTCTAAGTGTGTTCGGTAAGAACCGGTCTGTGTATCGGTCGGGTTTGGGCACCAAAGTGGTGGGAACCCTGTTCGGATACAAGAGTGGTCACATCCATTTCGCGTTTCAAGAAGAAGCGAAACTAAGCCCGGCGTTTCTAATCCAACTCGCGATGCCGACGAGTGTTTTGGTCAAGGAAATGGCGTCCGGGTTGGTTAGAATCGCGTTGGAGTGCGAGAAGAAGACGGGGAAGAAAGGGGTGAAGTTGCTGGAGGAGCCCGTATGGAGGACGTACTGCAATGGCAAGAAATGTGGGTTCGCGGCGAGGCGTGAGTGCGGACCCGAGGAATGGAAAGTGTTGAAATCGGTGGAGCCCATTTCGATGGGCGCGGGTGTGTTGCCGGGTAACTTCGACGGGAATGGAGATGGGTCCGAAGGTGAGCTGATGTACATGAGAGCCAGGTTCGAGAGGGTCATAGGGTCTAAAGACTCAGAAGCCTTTTACATGATGAATCCGGATGGTGCCGGTGGCCCTGAACTCAGCGTTTATCTGATCAGAGTTTAGGGTCTCTTGTTTTTTGGTCCACTAAGCTTTAGGTTTTTTTGTTAAGCACGATGAAAGATGTACGTGCAGGGACTACACTTGAAGCAGTGTCCAATTACATAAGTAGCATATTAAGTTATTCTCGTATCATATAACACACGAACACATTTATATGAATATTAAGTTATTTTATATGTTCATATAAATATAATAAATTTAAGATGCACATTTATATGATGTGTACGTATTATTAATGTGTTCGTGTTTTATGATACGAGAGTATCTGGATTCTCATCCAATCCAAAATCAGTATAGACGCCCTGATGCATTATTGGGCTTCAGTGTTTTCCAAACAAGTTGAAGATCCATCACCTCTTGTGAATCCATCAACACTGCTTTAATTTATCAAAATTTCATATCTATACTTGTTATATTTTCTTTTAATTTGAATGGATGTCATAAATGAGTGAGATATCAATTAAAATTTCAAAGATGTTGATATGTTAATTCGTATAATTAAAATTTTAAACTTCTTTATAGTTTTAAAATTATCTGTTAATGTAACATAAAATAAATAATATATATATATACACATATATTATCAGGATGATCAAAGGGATGGTAATTAATTTAAGGCACTATTGAAGTGAAGGCACATTCAATTCAATTGGGGTTAAAAAATATATGAAATTGGATTTGGGAAAAATCGGTTTTTTAAACCGGATCGAATATTTTAAAATCGGATAATATAATCGGTTTGGGGAAAAATTAGACAACCGGTTTTTTTTACCGGATTAAAAACCGGTCTGAAGAAACCGATTAAAGAACTGATTTTTTATCCGAAAAAACTAGTTTGGGTTTAAAAAACTAGTTGTTAATATAGTCGTTGGGGGATTTTTGTGAACCTTTTTTTATCGCTTTTTCTATAAAAAAAAAATTACCATTTTACCACCCTAAACATGTATAAATAGGTTGGAGATGTATTTATTCAATTATAGTAAACTTTGTTTCAATTATCGAACTTGGAAGTTTTAAGTATTTGAATTTATCAAACTTGGAAGTTTTTAAGTATTTGAATTTATCGAACTTGTAAGTATTTAAGTATTTCAATTATCATAAACTTTGTTGCAATTGATGACGATGTAATTTTAATAATATTAAAATCGGTTTTTTTTTATTCGGTCTTTTTAAAAAACCAATTTTTTTTCAAACCGAAACCAATTACACCATCCGGCCTTCCAAACCGGTTAGAATCCGAACAGATTTTTTTATAAATCAGTTTTTTGGCTATGTGAAAAAATTAGATAGGATAAAAACCGATCCGAATCGGATTTAAATCCGACTTTGTGCATGCCCAGTCAGACCTCCATCAACTGTAGAACAAACCAAACCAGAACAACTAATGGCCTCAGCTGCCATTATGTCTAATCCTTTTTAGAGTACTAAAGGAGGTAATTGTTTTAATTCTAGTCTGGTCACTACTCTCATTTCCACATCATTATCTTCTTTAAAACACACTGCACAGCCTACGACACTAGCCTTGTAGGTCGCATACGTGCAAGCACTTTCAATGTAATAAAAACTCCTCCTTTTGGGTAGTTTCATAGTTGGATGGACTAATTTAAAATTAATTCGTGACAAATTTTGATTTTAATATTATTAAAACTAATCTAAAAATTAATTATAATTATAATTGTAAATAAGAATATTATATTAACTTAAAATATTATTTATCTAATTTTAAAAATTACATAATTGATAATGAGATGGATTATGCATTTAGTATCTAAATTACCTTTCATATTTTTTTCAAAATCATACATAAAGTTTTATTTGAGTACCCGTCCTTAAAAACTTAACAGACGGACCGACAAGTCGTAGCTTCGGCTTCCGATGGACAGACGATCAATCTAATCGATGGATCACGAGGGAATGATAAGTTGACCAACACAGTCTAGTTTCAGGCCCATCGAGTGTCAAAGATCGGAGCATGAATAAGTCGAAGAGTCTACCATCGATTTAAGGAGCTTGAGACATTTTTCGATGAAATAAAAGTCGGAATCATGTTCAAGGGTCGAAAAATTGTGGGATGTAAAATTTAGACTTCATCGACCGACGGATGCAACAATCGACGAATGGAGATACGACAATCAACGAGTTTGTCTGTTTAAATTTTTGACGGCGGATACTAACATAAAACAAAAACTATTAAAAGTTTAGATACTAAAACAAACCAAAACTAATAACTTAGATACTAAACGCATAACTTATCATTGATAATAATTTCAATTATATGGTAATAATTTCAATTATAACCAAAAATATTTTGAATGTAATTTTTAAGTTATAACTGATATCTATTTTTTTAACTTTGTATTAGTTGATTGTATTTTAGACTTGATTCCATTATCTACCTTGAAAATCCAATTAAAAAAATCCCAAAGTCCCATAATGAAAGATTTTGTATTTCAGAAACGATATCAGCTTGATTTTTTTAGATTTCAAAGATCCCAAGAAGAAACGAAAGCCAACAACTTTTTGGCATGCGAAAAAGTCAGTTATCAGGCCTAGGATCAATACGAAAAGATGCAAAATAGCAGTACTGTTATCAATGCATCTACCAAGATTAACTGCCTAGCCCCATGGCCATGGATGCCATAGCTTGGGAATCCCGATGAAGCTATGAAATGGGAATTGCTTCTGTTCAAGTTCCCATCATCCCCCAACTTGGCCGTGGGATTCGGCTCGATCAAAGTTGCACCTTTTTGGCATGGTTTTACTCCATAAGGACCATTAGTTGTTGTTGTTGTCATTGACTCAACCGGATAGCAGAGATTCGGGTTGTTCCAAGCCCCGAAACGTTTTCCCATTTTCTCATAAAAGACATGGGAGAATTTTAGCACTCCTGTCAGATTGTTGCCGTTTAGATAAAGTGCATTAAGATCGGGCAAACATGCAAGCTTTGGTGGGAGATTGCCTGTGAGGTTGTTGTTACCAAGACCAAGATACCTCAGTCTCTTCAATCCAGATAACGATTCAGGGATTTCACCTATCAAGCCTGTGTTGGTGAGATCCAAAACGACAAGATTTTGCAAATTTTGCCAATCCAAGCTCATAATGTCACCACCTAGTGGATTGCAAGACAACATCAACTCTTCCAAAGAGACCATATCAAGAACATGGTGGCTTAGACCACCTGAAAACTTGTTGTGTCTCAAGTCCAAAAGGGTCAGATTCTTCAGACATGCAATATGTGCAAACAGCCTCCCTTTCAATCCGTTGTTACTCAAATCAAGCTTCAACAGAGATGTTAAACCACCAAGGCCTAGAGGTAAATGACCAGAGAGTGAATTTCTACTTAAATCCAAGATCAGCAGTTCATTCAACATTCCAAAACTATCTGGGATCTCACCAGTAAACCTGTTTCCAGCCAGGACTAGACGATTCAAGTTAGTTAAATTGCCAATACTGGTTGGTATTTCTCCTGTTAAACCATTCTCTAGTAAGACCAAAGATTGGAGCTTTTTGAGGTAACCAAAGGCAGTAGGAATTTCGCCTATGAGACCTGGATTGGACCTAAACTCTAATGACACCAAATTCCTAGCAAGTTTTTCCCAGTCATCGCCGGGGATGGTAACCGGATGTCTGCTAGGAGATATGAAACAATTGAAAAGGCTGAGAGATTTCAAGTGCTTGAGCTGGAAGAGTTGTGGCCTAAATTTCACATTAGTGGCACAAGCAAGAGAGTTGTCATGAACAGGACCAATGCTTATAGTAGTAATATACCATAAGCCACCATTGATATCACAGGAGACACCCTGTAGAAAAAAAATAATCAACGAGATTACCACGTAATCAAATAATTAATGTGAATCAAACAAGATTGGTACTTGGTATTATGCATTCAACTCATGCCTCATGGTCAAATATTATTAACTACAAGCCAACATCAAGCATACTACTTTTTCTCTGAAATATCCAAAAGTGAGATAGTAAATGCAATTCCACCAAGGTTACAACTTATAACCGCAAGGTAAAATCATACCTGAATAGGAGTCCAACCACAAGGATCGGGATAGAGATCCGAGCCATTCCACCAATCACCTACAAACCCTTGTATAGCAGAGTACAAAGCAGCTTGCTCAGCCTTCTCCATGGGAGCTGCTGCTGCTGATTCTTCAGTATTGTCTGCTTGGCCACAGCACCAAACACCCAAGCATAAAATGCAAAAAGCCAAAACGAAATGATTGCCACTGATAAGCATCCTCGTTGTTAGATAATTCAAGGCTCAGAAAAGGGGGGGGGGGACAAAGTTCAGCTTGGCTTAAACAAACTCAAACGTGGTCTTTAAAAAACAACCAACCGAGGAAAAAGGAATGAAAATATATAATATAGAGATTATCAAGATAAGGTAAAGAAGAGAGACAGGAGAAGAAGAGAAAGTGTGTTAGGGAATGTACGTAAGGTACAGCTTCGAAAACCAGAAAGTGTTTTTGAGAAAGCTAAGAATAGTATGGTAGAGTTCTGAGAGAGAGAGAGATGCAAAAAGATGGTTAAGTGAGAAAGAAAAGGGAAATGGAGAGAGTTGAGTACAGTAAGGAGTAGGAAGAATTCTACGTGGGTAAATAGGGAATCACCTTCCAAGAAAGTAAGGGCAATAATAACAAGATTAAAGGCAGTAGAAAAAAAAATAGAATTTTTTTTTTTTTGATAAGATTTGAAGGTCTCTTTAAAAACCTTCTTCTTGATTAATGAAACTTGTAAAGAAGCTTCTTAATCATGGGAAGGAGGAAAAGAGTGCCTTATAATTTTATTGAAGAAAATAAGAATTACAACCTTGGAAAAAAAAATCCAAGTAGTACCCTTACAACAATTCTTGAGCCTTAAAACCGAACTATAGAAGTCAACAACATAAATCAACCTATACCAGCCTTTGCTATAGCATCGGCATCCATATTAGCTGTCCTTGCAATCCATCTAACAACCCCCCGACGGTTTTAAGACACTCAACAATATCTCTAACAATGAAACCATAAACAGCTGGACATGGGACAACCTTATTGATCCAGTCTACTGCAACTCTGCTATCACTCTCTATGATCAACCTATCTTTAACCCTCCCTAGGACAGAGGTAAAGAAAGAGATACCCCTTTGGATAGCTTTAAGTTCCTTCAATGTTAGAGGTCCAGAACCATCCGGTTCCTGAAAAGAACCGAGGATTGCACCAGAATGATCCCTCATAAGACCACCCAGACCTGATTTTTCCCAATCACAACTAATTGCTGCATCCACATTCAACTTGATGAAACCCGTAGGGGGAGGTAACCAAGGGGTTATGGAAGACTTCAAGAAATTATAGGACGAGTAAGAATCCCCTATAGAAGGATCAGAGATTAAGGAGTCCTTAGGAATAGAAACATCCTTATTCTTTGCTAAATACCAAGAGGCCAGCCTAACTCTTATTAAGAAGAATAATTCAGTCTGATCGAGCTTCCCCTTCAAAAACTATGTAATTCCTGAATTTCCAGATTGTCCAAATAACAGCCCCATAAATGAAAGTCCAAATTACCGAATTAGATTTCAACTCATCCCAAGCAAGAAGAAAATTTTTTGCTTCTGCAGAAAACACAGAACTAAATCTCCAAAAATTTAGAAATTTATTCCACAAAGACCACGCAACCGAACAGGAGAAGAATAGATGCGAAGAAGATTCTTCAACCATTTTACAAAGAGGGCATAAGCCATCCTCAATACCTTGAACTCCTCTTTTAACCAATTCGGATTTAACTGTAATTTTTTGAAGCACAATTTGTCAAACTAATGTTTCAACTCTAGGGGGAACCAATCCTCTCCAAACAATCTTGTTCCAGAAATGAGACTCTTCTGAAATTGAAGCACAACTCTTAACATAAGAACCGACTGTATAAACCCCATCCCCACTGCCTTTCCAGATCAATCCATCGCTAGACTCAATAAATAGAGAGAAAGAAGAAATGATGCTCACCAAATTGCACCATTGTTCAAGCTCCCAATCGTTTAAATTTCTTCGAACTTTAACATCCCAAATCCAACCCGAAGAAATAAATTCCCCGAACTCACAAAATTTACCGAATTTATTAGTTGACAGTGAAAACAGTCTAGGAAATAGAATCTGAAACGGAAAATCAGCAGCCCAACTATCTTGCCAAAATCGAACATGCTTACCATTTCCGACATAAAACTTGCACAAACTACGGAACTTACAACCAAATGAGTCTTGTTTGAAATGGTTATTAACCATTGATCTCCACAACCAGGAGGATTGAGAAGTAATCTTGCTGTCAAACAATAGTCTAGAAGAGTCAATGTTGTATTTGCTACAAATAAAATTCCTCCAAACAGAATTTCTCTCATTTGCAAACCTCCAAGACCATTTCCCTAGCAATGCTCTGTTCATAAAAATCAGATTCCGAACTCCCAAGCCTCCCTCAGTCTTTGATTTGCAGACATCATCCCATTTAACCCAGTGTATCTTCTTAATACCATTGCCCCCTCCCCATAATAAATTAGACATAATAGAATTGAGAGTCTTGAGGATAGAAGCTGGAATCTTAAAAATAGACAAAAAATACGTAGGTAGTGAGGACAGAACGAATTTGATCAAAACCAGTCTCCCTGCTAAAGAAAGAGTAGCAGCCTTCCAACCTGCTAATTTAGAGTGGAAATTCTGTACCACTGGTTCCCAGATAACAGAGGAATTCCTAGTAGAACCTAGAGGGAGGCCTAGATAATTAGATGGGAAGTTTCCCACCAAACAACCGATAGAATCTGCCCAAGTTTTAACCTCATGTTGGGATATATTAATCCCGAAGAGTCTGCTTTTCTTCAGGTTTAGTTGCAGCCCTGACATAACCTCAAATACTCTAAGCACCCTCTTCACATTCATAATTTAAGTCTTCGAAGCTCCACAGAAAATAATTAAGTCATCCGCAAACTGCAAGTGTGAAAGATTAAAAGACCCCTCCTCATTGCCAACTGTCAAACCAGCAAATAAACCCTCCGAAACAGCTCTTCGAATTAAAAGATTCAATAATTCCCCCACTAGGTTAAAAAGTAAAGGCGAGAGTGAACATCCCTGTCTAAGACCCTTGGCCATTGGAAACTCCTCGGATGGAACCCCATTAACTAACACTGAGATTGAAGCTGTAGAAACACATCTCCTAATCCAACTTATCCATGTGAAACCGAAACCCATTTTTTCCATCACCTTGAACAAGATAGGCCAGTCAACCGTATCGCATGCCTTTTTGAAATCAACTTTAAACACACAACCCTTTAGCCATTTCTTCCTCCAATAATCAATACCCTCGTTAGCAATGAGTGAGCAGTCCAAAATTTGTCTACCGGGAATAAAAGTGAATTGAGTCGGGCTTATAAGATCTCCTATACAACTTCTAAGCCTCCTTGAAAGACACTTGGATAATATCTTATACACTCCTCCTACTAGGCTTATAGGTCTATAATCATCAAGACTTCCAATGTTAGATTCCTTAGGAATAAGGGTAATAAAAGTATGGTTAATACCATGTTCCCATTCTTTCCCCACAAAAAATCTGTGAAAAAACTGCATAATATTCCCCTTAAGAACAGACCAAAACCTTTAAAAAAAACCCAAATTCAATCCATCGGGCCCCGGAGCTTTATTACTATCACAAGACTTTAGAGTTTCCCAAACCTCCTCCTCGGAAAACTCCTTCTCTAAAAGCATATTCTGTTCGAAAGAAATTCTGGGGAAAACCAAACCAATATCTTCAACTTCTAAAGTAGACCGATCATTATAAATTTTGAAAAAATGATCTTTGACCTTGGCTTTGATAACAGTTGGATCGTGAGTAGTATTCCCATCAACAATTAAAGCATTCAGAGCATTTCGTTTCCTCCTAACTGAAGCACAAGTATGAAAGAATCTTGTGTTTCGGTCCCTATCATTAAGCCACTTCTTCCTAGAATTTTGAAGCCAAATCTGCTCCTCAATTCTGTGAAGTCTCCATAACTCTGCTCTACAACACTAAGCTCTTTAGCAATCCCCTGAACAGAGCTGTTATTCAGCTGCTGGGCGTCTTCCTCAAGCTTCTGAATTTTCTTTTCCAAATCTGATATTGCTACTCCCGGAAATTGATTATTCTTCCCTGACATTTCTTGATGGCAGCTTTAGAGTTCTTCAAAATACTTAAGATCCCACCTTTTCTCCCAGTCTTCTTACAATCTGTGATAGAATGTCTGACCATATCCTCAAAGCCGTCTTCCTCATCAGATAATTAAAGAGTCTAAACGGTCTTTTCCCCCAATCAATATCTTCATCTTTCATAAAATAGCATTGTGATCTGAAATGGATTTAGGAATAAGAGACTGAGAAATCTCAGGAAAAGTAGCTAAAAATTGACCATCCACCAAAAATCTGTCCAATCTAACAAAAGTTGGATCATCTTGGTTATTACACCAAGTGAACCTTCCCCATTCAAAGGCAGATTAATCAAACCTAAGACTGAATAAACTGAGAGAAAATCCTCATAGAGAACCTATTCTGTGCTTTACCCACCTTCTCATCTTCACACAAATAACATTAAAATCTCCTCCAACACAAACCGGCAGGTTCTGTCCAGAGATGAACACACTGAGTTCTTCAAAAAAACTCTCTTTTTCTTCCTCCACTGAAGGCCCATAAACATTAATGAGGACACTTCTGAATTGATGCAGCCTGAATTTCCCTACAACAGCAATGAATCTCTGTTAATGCAGTGATTTCCATCTCAAACACATTGTCATCCCAACAACATAATAAGCCCCCTGAAGAACCAATAGCTGGAGATTCAATAACACTCTGAAGATTATTCAGTCCATTCCTTCTCAGAAAGACCTTTGAACCTTCTCTACTTTAGTTTCTTGTAACCAAAGAAAAGAAGGATATGAGCTAGAGACCAATCTCTGGACTGCTTTATGTTTTTCTCTTTTCCCCAAGCCCCTAACATTCCATGAAATTATTGCTAATTTGTTTCATTAAAATTTCTTGAGAACCTGACTTCCCCACTATGGCAACTCAACTGGCCAAATTCAAGCCATGTTCTAGTTTAATTATTTTGTCCAGAAAAGCTTCATTCCCCTTAGTAAAGAGACCCCCAAAATCTGACTCACTTGCCATGTGGCTACTGCTTCATCTAAAAGCTCTGAAAATTCTGTAGAAGAGGCTGTAAATATTGACATGTTCTAGAGCTTCTCTTACCAATGATCTTCTTGCCCTTCTTTTGCAAAATCCTGATTTGGAATTAATCAAATGACTGTCCGTA